TTTTTATAATATGGAAATTTTACCCACCACATAAGCTGATCTCAAGTTTAAATTAAATGAAAAAGGACTTCTAAAGTATACTTTAGGTTATAGATTACGTTCCCAAATTCCGATTTTCTAGCTTTTAGAATTAAAAATGGTTTTTTTTAAATTTGAGTTCGCATTGGTCATGGTCGTTAAGGCACTTGAAGTTCGAGAGTTGAGGTAGGGTTCGAATCTCCCCGGGGTTTTTTTTTGGCTCTTCTATTTTTTTCACTCGAAACGAATCGAAGTCAATATTTATTATCGATTGCAATTTTTAAAAGTGGTAATTTGAATAAATTATTTTTATAATTTTCAATCGGCGTTGTTAACCTTTAGGGAAATTATTAACTAGCTTTTCGAAACATTTAATACTAATTTCAAGTTCAAAAATTTTCGAACAAAGAACACCGTTACTTTAACATTTACTTAAAAAAAATTATCCTTCTCTTTCATTGTTGTCATGAACTTTGATATTCTAGTTACGGTTTTATGCTGATCGTGAAACGAGCATGCACGTGACGAGACTATTTGTTAAAGTATATACATATAAGAAAAAGATTTACAGATTTCTCTTAAATAATGTCAAGTCATCGAGTTTATTCCTCGAATCCTTGTGTGCATCTTCAGCGAAATTTGCGGCAAATATTTCGATTTAATTGCATTTGAAAAATGCAATTATATTTCGTCATTTAATAAAAATTAATTATTTCTAATTTGCTTTCTTTTGCTAGCTGTTCCAGGAAAAATTTGTTTTTTCCAGTTAATATTTCTATGAGTAACAAAATATTTCTTATTTTTTTTGACAGATTTCGTATATGGTTTCGATTTTAGAAAATTTGGTTTTTAATTTTTTTTTTTTTTAATAGAATAGTGGAAATTGAACTCGCACTTGAGAGAGATTTATTCTATTTGCCTTGATATTGAACTGAGTCTTGTTTCCATCATCGTCTTGATCTTAATCGTGGGCGAAAAGTGAGAGTCATACGTATACAATTTATTGAAATGTCGTTGGACTTTATATGCAAAAGAAAAACTTTCGTGTGCTATTTTTTTTGTAGGGCAAATATTTTTTGTTTTTTTCGAAACGAGGCTTTGCTGTTGTAGAATTTGTTTAAAATTTCTGAGTGCGGTAAAATAGTACCTACAAATTTTAAATTCTCTGGAAAAAAAATTGATAGGCAGTTTTATTTATTTTTTTTTTTGAAATTCTGTCTTTTTTGTAATATGGTTTCTTGCATCTTATTTGAATGTTAGTGGCAATAAGAGAGAAGGTAAAAGCAACAAGGCTTTATTGAGACCATGATCCTCTCGAAATTTCATGGTCGCTCATTGTCATTGTCACTCTCGAGTATTTCTGTGCCTTTTTCTCACTCCCTCCTTCTTATTCCCTCTTTATCTCTCCTTTCCATTTCTCTCGTATAAGGCCCCACAACTTTGGTCCCCAAGTTATTCCAATATGTGTCACGGTAATTCCATATCAAGACCTTGACTACTTATTATATGTCCCACGGGCATCACTTGACTCCATTTTTACCCCAACAAAGTCATGATTTATTATTAGAATATTTTTAGATTTATTTATAATAGATTTTTTATTTTTGATAATTTTTTTTATTTTTAATTTAACAATTTTTTTTATATTAAAAAAATATTGGAATATTAATTAACAATATTAGAAGAGATTATTTACAATAATACGAATTGTAGAATTACAATTAGAATATTGTTGGTAGTTGGAGAACTTTTTTTCGTTCACTTGACTGACCGTAGAAAAAATGTTGGTTCGACGACTTCGTTGTTAATAGTGATTGAGACGGGAAGCCGCGGAAAAGGCGCGAAAGTAGTGTAGACGTGTGGACGGTTACGCGAAGCTGGTTAAAAAAGACTTACACTTTCGTTAGAAAGTTGAGAATCGGCCGTCATCCGTGGCAGTCGACAAACAAGACTCTTGGCAATCTTGTTTTGTTGTCAATTAACCATAGTCTGACTAAACATTGACTTTTACTACTTGCTGGCCCTCGGAGCCCTAAACGTGTGCTTGTAACTTTTTAATAATTATTTTTTTTTATTATTGAGTTAGATGAATATTATTAGATTCTTATTAAACATTATTTAGTAATAATATTTAATAGCTCTTAGTAAACAATTCAAATAAATAAAATAAAGAAGAAATTGAAGAAACTTTAAAATAGAGAATAAATTTTGGAAAAAAATGACGCCAAAATTGCAAACTGTTTTTGAATGTCAAGATTATTGCACACATCACACACGACACGTGTTAGTCGTGTGAGAGCCAACATATATATGCTACATGTATTTATATGAATATACTCGTGAATGTTGACTCGCGCTGTGCGCAATAGATCGTTTACTAAAGTTCCGTGCCTTGTCCGTGAAAGAGACATAAGGTATTGCGAGGGTCAGCCGCTGAATCTGAATTTATTCTGTTTATTATCCAACTGGAACTTTTTAGGCGAAGGACTCGTCAATGTTGAGCTCTCTAAAGAGTGATAGTAATACCTCAATAATTCCTCTATTTTTCACTCAAAAGAAAAAAAAATGTATATTCTATTCAATTTCTTTATTAGAAATATAAATTTCTTCATCGATTTCAAAAGAAGAAAATTTACTCAAGTTACACTGTATGTAAACGGTCTTTTTTCGAATATTCATTTTTATTATACTCTTTGCTTTCTGAATAGAGAAAGAATTGACATTTTTCTTATGTTGGACATGGAAAAATGAGAAAATAGGTGATTTTTTTCGAGAAGTGCCGAAAAATTGGAAAGTATCTAGATATTGTTGCGGAATAATTCTAAAAAAAATCATAATTTTTTTCTAATGATAAGCTTATCGTGCGTAGGTATTAGAAATACGTTAAAGTTAATAACAGTTGTAAAAAGCTTTCGTAGTTACAGTTTTTGTTTTAAAACTGATAAAACGTGTATAAGATAGGACTTATCTTTTATTAATATTCCGCGTTTCACCATGAATTTATTATATGTTTATAATATATCAATCTATTTAAATTAGAAATTAAATTCACTAATCACTAATAAGTTAATCAGATTTTTCAGAATTTTGTTTTCTTCTCTTTTTTTAGACAGTATTTCTAAGGATATTAAATTGAGACAGAAAAAGAATCAAAAGTGTTGCAATGCAACACTTTTGATTCTTTTTTTGTCTCAATTTGGTATTTGCAGAAAAGCTGTTAGGATTGTTAGTTTAAATTTCACTCGAGTTTAACGGAATTTAAGACGAAATTTTACTGATAATGTGCTTTATAGTTGCAAAAATTTTTCAATTGGGTTGCAATTTTTATTACACGGAGAAAAATATAAACTTATAAAGTAACTTTTACTACTTTTATAGTAAAAAATTTCTGGTAACTTTTGCTACTTTTGAAGTAAATTTTGCTACGTTCGAAGTAAATTTTACTACGTTCACAGAACATATTTTAAAAAATTAGTAAAATTTAATTTGAACGTAGCAAAATTTACTCCTATATTAGCCAAATTTTTAGTTATTTTAGTTAAGATTTTCCTTATTCTAGAGATTTTTATCGCTGTTCTAAGTACAAATTTTTTTTCGTGAACTATTTTATTACTGTTGATTTGACTATTTAATTTGTTAGACTACCTATTTGGTTACACACTTTACTACTGATTGGCTAACTAAGTAAATGATAATAGTAACTAATAAAAATTTTTAGCTACTTTTTTACAAACTAAATAGAAATAATTAATATATTTCTTCATTTATATTATATAAAACTCTCCAAATTCGAATTAGTAAAAAGGTTAACTAATTTGAATTAGTGGTTGACTTTTTGCTTTTCAATTAGTCAATTTTACTTATAAATTAGTAAAAATGACTATTTATTAGTAAAATTTACTAATCAATTAGTAGACATTACTATTTAATAGTAGTAAAGGTGACTTTTTGCTTTTGAAATAGTAAATTTGACTAATAAATAGTAATTTTTACTAATTTATTAGTAAATTCGACTAATAGTAAAATTTACTATTAAATGAGTAGAAATATCTATTTATTATAGTAAATTTTACTAATAAATTAGTAGAAATAGTTACTACAAATAGTTATTACAAAATAGTAAATTCTACAAATTATTATTAGTAAATTCGACTAATCAATAGTAATTTCTACAAATTATTAGTAAAATTAACTAATTCTAAGCAAAAATTCAGTGACTAATTCAAATTAGTAAACATTTTTACGTCTGTCCTTGTCTTGCAAGACTGACTTAATTTCAGCCTGAAAAATAGTCTAAAATCAAGACTTTTCTGTCTAGTAGTAATAATAATAGTAAAAGTTACAAAAATGTTTTTAAAAAAAGGAAAAGTGATAAAATTAACAAGAACAATAACAAACTTTTTTCAATTTGTTTTCTTTACTCATATTATATAAAAATATCGTTCTCTTTTTCCAAAGAAAAAATAGCTGAAGTAAAATCAAAAATTACTTTATCCAATTTTCATTTCTAATGGACGCACGAAAAGCGGGTGTTATTATTATTATTATAAAAATAAATTGATTCGCGAGAGCTTAAAACTTTTCTATATGTGTTGGTTTGTATAGATGATTTTAAGTAAATTGTGTGGGAGTGTGGAGTACGCGTGTATAATAAAATATCCACGTGCGCCTATGTGTAGAGCAAACGTGTGCGACTCGGTGGCCGTGGCTATGGCCTTCCGTCCCCCCTTCTCATACACAACTCGCTCACCCCCCCAATCCCCCCTTAACCCCCCCCCTCCCACACCACCATTATACTGAATCTACACATAGTGCGAGACTATCTGTACATCGTCCACTAAAGTAAGAGAGAGAGAGAGAGAGAGAGAAACTCGCGACCAAGAAAAAGAGAAAGAGATGGCTCGCGAGTGAGTGAGAGAGAGAGAGAGAGAGAGAAAGAGAGACGGAGAGAGAGATTGTCGCGAATGTCTAACCTAGGATAGTGGTGTTTAGTATAGTGGCTAGGCTAGGCAAACGGAGAGTTGCCGCTCGTCTGGTACGTTCAGTATTCGCATTGCACTGCCTCGAAGACGTTCGCAATTTTAAAACTTGGCAGGGAATTTAAAAAAAAAAACATTTCGCCGGTTTTACTGGATTTTTAATTAAGTGATAAGGGAAGTTTTTCGAAAAGGAAAAAACATAGTGTAAATCAAGTGTGAAACATTTTTGTGGCAAAAGACAATTTTTTTGCTTTTTAAAATTGAAATATTTCTGTGGTACACTCTCCTTGGAATATTTTTTTTATCTATTGTGTGTATCTGATAATAATTGTGTTTCAAGTGTTGATTCAAGCTTTGATTTTTTTTCGATTCTGATGACAGGAGTGTATTAGTTTCTTTTTTACACCCAAAGTTTTAGTAGTTTGTTACCACTACCACTGTTTAAAAAAAAAATGGAAGTTTTGACAATTTTCCTAAAAATGACAATTTTCATTTTGTGAGAAAATGGAAATTTTCTTTATAGTGTTTTGACAGTGTTTTTCTCTCCCCCTCCCCTTCCACATCTTTAAAGGAGTGACCAGAGTGAAAAAAGTGATTTCTTGTTTTAAAAAAGGGAAATAATAATGGAAATCTTGAGTTTGGAGGAAAAAAATAGGATTTTTTAGTGAAAAATGAAGGATTTGCAAGTTTTCGATTTTCTTATAAAATTGGGATTAGTTTGGAAAAAATTTCATTGAACGAGAAGGAAAAAAGTAATTGTCAACAAAACGGATATTCACAAAGAGAGAGAGAGAGAGAGAGAGAGAGAGAGAGAGAGAGAGAGAGAATACATTGACTTATGCTTCGCGAATCGTTGTCACGTGTGACGTAAGCGCGCTTCATTTTTTTTTACATTTCGCAACACGCCTCAAACGACAATTAAGAAAAATATTTCTTCTTCTCTTTCTACTTCGCGGGAAATTTCGACAATTATTGTTTAAAATCGTTTTTCATTCTTGTGCGCGCCTCGTGCAACAAAAGGACTGTGTTTGTCAATTCGAGAGTGCAAGTGTAAAAGGAAGAAGAGCAGTGACAAAGTTGTATAGGCTATAGTTATAATTCAAGTCTCTTGGTGTACGTTTGGTGTCAGTAACTGGTTGCAATAAAAAGGAAAAAAAACGAAAAGAAAAGTTAGGAATTTCTCGCAGTTGGAAAGTTTTCGAAAGGGTTTAAAAGGTGACGAGGTAAGAAGACCCTCTTGCTTTTTTTTAATTCGTGGTATTTTTGCGTGAATTCTCGAGTTTCTTTTGGTTAAGACAAGAAATAATTTCTTTTTCATGTCATAATTTGGTAGTTTTTCAAAAATTTATTTTCACTGTAATTTTTCTTTTCTTATTCTGTCTCTCATTATTTTAATTATCATTCCATACAATTTTATATTCTTTACACTTTTGTATTATTTAATATTTTTCTATTTTAATTTTTTTAATTTATTTTATTTTTCTGTTTCTATAATAGTGGACAAAAATAGTTGACATTATTATTAATTAATTATTGAACTAAACTTATTGCTTATTACGTAATTTTTATATTAATTCCTAAATTATTAATATTTAAATCAGTCAATTTTTTTACTCAAATTAGAGACATGGAAAAATGTTGAAAAAAGTAAACAAAACAGAAGCGAACTATTTTTTATTTTTTTTTTTTTACTAAAAAAAATTGATGGAAGGTAAATGTTTCACAATTTTTAAATGGTGTTTTTATGAGAAGAAAATTTACATTGTTTTCTGTATAAGAAAGTGTTATATAAAAGTGTTAAAGTAAAGAAAAAAATACCAGGCACGTGTAAAGAACAAATTGTTTCTTAAATTAATTAAATTAATTAATTTCTTAATTAATTGTTTCTTAGTTAACTTTGACAAAAGAAATTATTAATTTCGATAATGTGTTTACTTTATGGTGAATATAATCAACAAGAGCATTGATGCGCATGTTACTTGAAATTTTGTGATGAAATCGCGAAACGTACAAGAGATCTTTTGTGCACAATTATATATTTGCAAGCTGATATAAAATCAGATGGAAAATGTTTTTAACTTGTCATCAGTTCCATGAAAAGTTATAGTTTTTATTTGAAAACGATTTTTTGTCCTATATTTTTAAAATAAAATTTAACTATTAGTTAAAAATTCATCCCAATTCTCTGAATCAGTTCTCTCTATTGAATTGAATTTTTTATTTTTCAGTATTAAGAAAAACATTAATATTAAAATAAATAAAAAATATTAATAAATTAATTAGTATTAAAAAAAAGAAAAATAATTCATTTGTTACTAATTCAGTTGTAGTCAAATTTAATTTAAATTCAAATCAGTTTAACTATATGATTAAAATGTAGGGATGAGTAAAAGTTTGTTTATTTATTCAGTTGCATGTAAATTATACTTATTATTTAATTACATTTTTATTACTTTACTAAATTTCGGATCTTAAATAAATAACAATTTAACAATGTTTGTAAGATTAATTAGCAATTTATAATTCTATTATAGAACAAAGTGGAAAGAAACATTTTTTTTTATGAAAAATTAAAAAAAAATGTTTGATGTCAATTAGTACTAATTCATTGGAGATAAGAAACTTTAAAATCAATTAATTTTACACGAAAGATCTCTTTCAGATATAAATGTCGTACATTTTTAAAAGATAAGTTTATCAAATTTGTTCGTAACATTGAAATGTATATATGTATTTTAAATTTGTAATAGGTCAAGATCAGTAGATTCAGCTTTTTTTTCCTCTTTATATTATTGTCCTGAAATAATACAATCCGTTTGTCTGCCTGTGTGTGTGATTATGCAATTATTATTTTTATAAAACGTGTATCTATTTTTAGAAATCACAAAAAAAACGATTTTTTTTACCGCCACTTAATAATACTGATTACCAATGCAAATTATTGAATCTTCAAACAAAGTTGTGCACCTCAGACGATATATTTTCGCGGGATTATTTAAATATTATATATTTAAATATTTTTATAATTTTAGATATTTTTGTAGATTTAAACATTTTTTACATTTTCATGCATATAGATATTCTTTAATTTAAAATATTTTTATACATGTAAGTATTTTTAAAATTTTAAATATTTCTATGTATTTAAATATTTCTCTAGTTCTAAATCTTTTATTTTTAATATAGAAAATTTGAATTTATAATGTTAGACTTGATATTCTACAAGCTGGGTTAATTTTACTTTTGATAGATTTTTTTATCGATTATTATTTTTATGTTGTAATATTTCTTCGGATCTTCCTTTTGCTTTAAAACAAATATACAATTATTTTGATTTTTTATGAATGGATCTCGTTTTTTTCATCTATGGTCGATTACTGAGATCGCGTTGCTGATTGGTTTGGATGTTTATTAGTAATCTCGATACTATCGTGTGGGTTGTTAAGATCAAGATCGATCGAATTCAGATAAAATAACTTTCGTATTAAGATGTTTAGATCACTTTAATAGCAGAAGTAGGTTTTTAACAAGTTTTTTCGATTCAGGTTTAGAGATTTTAACTTTACTTTTTTTAAATAGTAACGCTATTTTAATACTATTAAATTCAATTTATTATTATTATTTCTATTGATATCATTTTTATGGCTATAATTTTTATTACTATTATTTTTATTGTTATTAATATCAAATATCAAATAAAATTTTTTTTCTAAATTTGAATATAAATGTTTACCGGAATTAGTGACTGATTTTTTGCTTTAAATTAGTAAATATATATTTTATATATTTATATATATATTTATATTTATTTTTACTAATAAATTAGTAGAAATTACTGTTTATGTAGTACAATTGACTAAATATTGAAGAATTGACTAATATTAGTAAATATTAGTAAAATTTCCTAACTGAAAAGCAAAAAGCAGTCACTAATGCAAAGTAAACATTTTTACTGAATCAAATTTAGAGTTTTAATTTTTTATTTAAATTTTTGATATATTTAAAAAAAGAAGAGCGTGAAATATTTCGATTTAGTGCCACATTATTTTTCTCATTTTCTTTGCAACGTAGATATAAAAAAAATTAGAAATAATAAATTTTAAATTAAAAGATGTTTGTTTGGAACAAAATTTTAAGTGCACATATAATTATCGTTGGCTTTACTTTCTTTCTTAAGTGCCAAAAAACTGAATTGAAATAATTTCAAGATGATTTCTGATCTGTAGGAGTTTATATTGTATGATACAAAAGTCTTGTTTGTAATAGTTTATTTCAAACTCATATACAGAGACTTTGGTGGCAAAAATAAAAGACGTTACTATATATTTTCGAAAATTATTTTCAGTCTAGGTCGACCTTCGACTCTCAATTTTTTTCTTTCTTTCTCTTTGTCTATTATAATTTTTCAGGTTCTTCTTCTTCCTTTCTTTCTGAAGATAAATAGAATACGAGGAACTTTTGCCTTATTTTAAATAGACGCGGTTTTTCCACTCTTGCGGGACAGATTTTTCGTTTTATTTTTGTTTTATTCATTTGTTTTAATTTTGGTTTGTTTTAGATTTTACTTTTGTTTTTATTTTTGATCTGTTTTAATTTTTATTTTGCTTTTACCTTTGTCTTGCCTTTAATTTTTGTTTTTATTTTTGATTTGTTTTAATTTTGATTTGCTTTAGTTTTTTATTTTGTTTTGCTTTTAATGAAATTTTTAGTTTCTTTTCTTTTCAATTTAGTTTCTGTTATTTTTAATTTTGTTTATAATTTAAATGGGTTGATAAAATGTCCGATAGTTTTTGATGAACCAAAAAGAGGATTCCGTCTGGTTATTGAAGTGATTATGCTCTGACGTTTAAATGTTGTTTAAGTTTAATAGTAGTGGTTCCCTCATTTTCTCGCCGAGTTACGTGGCGGCCTTCATTCCCCAGGGCCGAGGGCCAAAACCGTCTGATGTTTAGTATTGCGCCGGTATAACGTTCAATAAATAACGCGATATCTCGCTATAAAGGGCCTCGTGCCGTCTCTCACCTCAAGTTCGTAAAAATTTACAGACTCTCAGCTTATTTCTATATAAATATATATACCAAACATTAAGAAAATTAAGATTTACTCTCGTTTCGCCCTCTTTGAAACACACTTTTCCTAATGGAAACTTTGTCAATAGTGAAAAATTTCCTCCATGGTTTTTTAGAATCTAGAATATTTTTCAAAAAAATGTTTTTTTAAACTTAATTATAATTAATTAGCAGATATCACAATTTTTAGTTGGATATATGCCTAAGAGAAGGATTGAAATTTTAGTATAATATCTTCACCTCCAAAAAAGAAAGGATTGCTTCATTTATTTTTAAACCACGATGTGTATTGCACGCAGATAAAAAGCAATATCGTATTTATTTTTGGAACTTGAAGTAAAATTCATCATGTAAATGTGGATCGTTCACTAATCAACAGCCTCGAAATACACACTTGATATTCTCTATCATATGTGTATAATGTAAAATATATTTCCAATCACTGCGCGCCTCTTGCGACGAAAAAAAGTAGGTCACATGAGAGAACCCAGGAATGGAAAACTGTGTAAATATTTTTTATATTTCATTATATTTTCGGCCTTTGAATTTTCTATAGACGAAAAAAAAGTGTTTCCAAGGTCAGTTCTAGTATAACGATACCGTGACTATTTTATTTTGTGAAGGTCGTCATTATGGGAGAAGGAAAGATTTTTGGATCGTCTGAACCGTGACGTTTTAATGTTGAGAAAGAAAGAGAGTGAGAGAGGGAAAGAGAGAAAGAAAGAGTGAGAGATTTTAAACCAATATAATACTTGAGTCAAGGTTTTGTCCTAATTCGGGTTCAGAGACCATCTGGACCAAAATGATAGGTCACTCATTGCGTTTCGTTTAAGGTCATTTACTTTTACCAAACTCAAGGTTCATGAATCGAGATTGCTTCTTTTTCTTTTTGACGTCATGTTAGACTCACCCTCTCCTGGTCAATTTTTTCCAACACTTAATTTATGTAAAACTTTTTTCTTTCACACTTTTCATTTGATCACTAGAAAATAACTAGAAAATAAATTAATTTAAAAAAATTATAAAAAACATTCATTTAAATTTTTTTTTTTCAATTTACTTTGAATTTCGCGCCATTGTTTTTTCTCTTAACCGGCAGATGGCGAGAAAACTCACTCACAAGCGGAATGTTGTAAAGAATAAAAATCTTTTTA